ACGCTCACCAATGCTGTCGATGCCTTCTTCACTGCTGTCAGCACCAACCAACCTCCCAAGATCTTCGTGGCCCATAGCAAGTTTGTCATCCTCAGTGCCCACAAGCTCGTCTTTATTGGGGACACGCTGTCCCGCCAGGCCAAGGCCCAGGACGTCCAGCACAAGGTGATGCACTACAGCAACCTCCTCTGTGAGATGCTCAAGGAGATCGTGATGACCACCAAGGCAGCTGCCCTCCACTACCCGTCTCCTTCTGCCTCCAAGGACATGGTGGAGCGTGTCAAGGACCTCGCCAACAGCACGCAGCAGTTCAGGATGGTGCTGGGCCAGCTGGCAGCCATGTGATTGCCTCAGGGCCACTGTCCCCTCTCTCTGGCCCCCACCCTTCCCAAGACATGCATTTCCCTCCATGCAAGTCCTCTCTGCCCGGTGTAAGCAGACATGTACATAGAGACTCCCACGCACACCGGGGGGCTGGGGCTCTGTGGGAATAGAGGTGAGGGGCTGCAGCCATCATATCCCTTCCTCCTCCCTGTGGCCAGGGGCCAGGAATGGTTTGAGCTGTGTCCGTAATGAAGCAAAGCTGGGAGATGGATATGTGTCCACTCCTTCCCCACTGTCCTCTCTCCATACAAAACCGGCAGCCAGTTCTGGGCTGAAGGGCATGGGGCCATGTCCCTGATGAGTCAAGGATGTGCCTGATGACTTGAGATGCAATTTAAGATGCCCTTTGTGATGCTGTGGCTGCTCTGCTCTCGGGAGGACTCTACGGTGCACTCTGGAGAAACTCCACGGTGGCCAGGAGGTCCTAATGGTGTGGAAGCCATGCCCTGTGATGGTGGGACAGTGTGACAGAGATGGGTTGTACTATCCCCTTGTGTGCTGGAGGCTGGGGATAGGGGTCCCCAGGAGTGTTAGGGGTGGTGGGGAGCTGCTGGGGCAGGAAGGGGCTAACTTGTGCGTTCTCATGTCTCGGGTTGTGCTACAGTACCAGCTGTAACGGAAATGCGAACCAAAATTGGTGCCTTTTGAACACAGGGGAAGCTTCCGCTGGTTCCCGGAGCTACCACGTGGCAGCCCCCTCCAAAACATGGCCCCAAGTCCCTCAGCAGTATAAAGATTTGCCTAGAAACACCCCTTACCTCCTGGGTATCTGTGTGTGCCTGCTGGGGTGAGGGAGAGACCCTGTGGCAGTGCTGGAGAGATCCTGTTCTCCGAAAATATCTCCTAGCCTTTGGACACTGCTGGTGCACAGAGGGTTAATAGGACACAAGGGATTGGTCTAAGAGCACGTTGGGGGAAAATGAGGGGTGGAAAAGCAGGGCACTGAGGCCCACATGACCCCAAAACCAGTATGAGATGAGTGTCCCTCACAGCACCTTGACAGGGGCCATGGTCACCATGGGACCTAGGGGTTTGGTGTGGCAGAGAGGATGGTCACCCATGACCCCAAGCATTCCTGGTCCTGGCAATTCAACCCATCCAGAACCATAAGAACCATGGCACCCTAACTCCTAGAGGCTCCTCAGGTGTGGAGCCATCACCAGGCCCTCCAGAGCTGTCACCCCCAGCTCCATGACCCCCCTCGCGCCCACAATACCGACGGGAGTATCCCCACAGCTGGTCAGGGGTCCATGACCTACAGGAGACCACATGTCCCCACACTCCTCCCTTCCCAGACACGAGTCCCCATGTCCCCCTGCCCATCTGTCCCCATTCCCAGTCACGGGTCCCCATGCCCTCTGTTCCCATGCACAGCCAGCTTTCCCCGTTCAGGCACAGGAGTCCCCATGTCCCCCTATCCATCTGTCCTCATTCCCAAGCAGGTGTGCCCAAGTCCCCCTGTCCATCTGTCTCTTTTCCCAGTCAGGCGTCCCCATGCCCCCTTGTCCATCTGTCCCTGTTCCCAGCCAGGTGTCCCCATGCTGCTCAGCACTCCTGAACAGGTATCCTCATGCCCAGAGAACTGACCCCAGCCCACCACATGCGACCATCCTCGGACCCCCGGCCACCCGCCTGCCCCGTGCCCCGCTCCCGTGCGTCCCGGCATGATGACAAGGACACAGTGTGCTCAGGGGGTTATTGCAGAGTTTATTACAGGCCTCCGTTGGCCTCCAGGATGGAGTCGATCCAGCTGCGAAGCTTGGTGACACGGGCGTACACAGTGGGCATCTCGGTGTCACAGGTGCTGCTGCCCCAGGAGACGATGCCCACCAGGTTCCAGGCGCCGTCCTTCTGGCACACCAGCGGGCCCCCGGAGTCGCCCTGCACGGGGCAGCGGGTGAGCGCCGGGCCGGGGCCTGGGGCTGCCGGGAGCAGCGGGGGCCAGGGACACCTACCATGCAGGAAGAGGCTCCGTCGGCGCCGGCACAGACCATCACATCGCGGATGCGGAAGCCCCAGAACTGCTTGCACTGGGTGTTGGTGAGCAAGGGCAGAGCCACCTGCTGCAGCACCGCCGGCGTGTGCGAGGCTGCGGGACACGGGAGCGTCAGCGCCGGCACCGGCAGCGGAGAGGGAATGGGGAAGGGGCTGGAACGGGGAGGGCGGGACCGTGATGGTTGTGGACATGGGGACAGGATTGGCTCAGGCTTGGGGATGGGTGATGAGGATGAGGAATGGGACTGGGACAAAGATGGGGATACGGGAATGGGATGGGCATTCCGATTCAGATTTGCATGGGGATCTGGATGGGAAATTGCCATGAGCATTAGGATTCAGATGAGGATAGGGACTGACCACATGGATGAGGAAGGGAACAGCGGACAAGGATGGGGATGGGTATTTGGATGAGGCAGGGCACTGCAGTGGGGATGGGGACAAGAAAGCACAGTTACCGCTGGAGTCAGTGAGCCCCCAGCCAGTGGTGACGCAGGTCATTCCCCCCTGGAATTCGTCAGTGGCCTTGGGCAGGCAGACGGGGGACACGCGATCCGACAGCTGCGCCGGAGTGGCCAGTTTGATCAGGGTGATGTCGTCGTGGATGGTCAGCATGTTGAACTTGGGGTTCTTGAACACCTGAAGCACGCAGCACTGCTCTCAGCACCTGCACCCCCTGCCAGGGTGCCGGGCACCGGACACTCCACAGGGATCACTAGGGACCTTGGGGACCAATGGGGACCCCGGAGGCTGCTCCTGTGGGTGCCGTGATGGCAGGGTGTCTGAGCTGCAGGGCCCAGGCCCTGGGACACTGGGGAGCAGGGACACCCCAGGTCACGTCCCCTGCCGGCATGAATTGGACCCTGAGGCCTGAACCCTGAAATGAACCCCTGGGGCCTGAAGGATGAGTGGGAACAGGGACACACCTCAGGGGATTGCAGTGCAGGGATGTGGGACACCATGGACACCCCAGGGAACCCTGACCCTCCGGATCAGGGGAACCGGGGGGGCTCCTCAGGAGCACAAACCCCAGGACAAGGGGGACCCGCACATAAGCTCCCAGGCTGCCTGTGCTGGCCGTGGGATCCCGCAGGCACACGGGCCCCGCCCCGGAGCTACCTTCTCGATTTTCAGTTCCTGCTGATCAGGGCCGGGTGCGTCCTGGTCGTAGGCGCCCACCACCACGGTGTCGGTTTTCCTGGGCACAGGCAGGCACTGAGCACGGGACGCCGGCACGGGGACAGCGGGTTCCCAGGGCACCCCGTGCCCGTGCCCAGCCCCGGCCCGGCCGGCAGCAGAGCCGGTGCCTACCTGACGCCGCAGTGGGCAGCGGTGACCACCCAGTTCTCGCTGATCAGGGACCCGCCGCAGAAGTGGAAGCCGTTGTTGCGCTGGCGGGGAGAGCCGCCCTCAGCACCCGGCACGGCCGCCGGCACCGCCTCGGGCCGGCGAGCTCCGTGCCCGGCCCCCCACACGGCGCCCACCCCTGCCCCCGGCCCGCCTCGGGCTCTCACCTGCAGGGACACCTGCCATGGCCAGGAGCCTGCCACCGCCGCCTCCCCGTTGACAATGCGGTTGTAGCCGCGGATGACGGGTGTGATGGCGGGCACGCCGCAGCCTGCGGGGCACAGGCGGCCGTGGGACGGCGGCTCCAGCCACCCCGGCCCCCTTTCCCCTCCCCACCATTCCCACCCGCCCAAGCCCCGAGCCCACCCCGCCAAGCCCCACGACCCCACGCACTCTCAGGGAGGGCCGCACGGGCAAAGCCCGCCAGAGCCAGGCAGCTCAACACCCACAGCAGAGCCATTGCCACTTGTGAGGACAGACCTGCCCTGCACCTGGTGGCTCTTATCTGCACCCTTGGGCACCTCCCTGCTGCCCCTGGCCTTGCCACCGCGACCTTGGGAGATAACGTGGCAGCTGGAACTTCTCCAGGAAATAGCCTGGGAGCATGACACCTGGAGCCAGTATCCTTGGCTATGGCTGTGGGACCGCACTGGCCTGGACTAAATGCTGGCACCTAAATGTCCTTGGAATCATTCCAGCTCGCCCATGTCCTTCATAATTGGGGTACCAGAGTTGGACACAGCACTGCATGCATAGTCTCAGCATAGTGGAGTAGAGGAGCAGAATCCCCTGCCTTGACGTGCTGCTCAGTCTGCTGCAGCTGTAGCCAAAGATACAGTGGGGTTTTCTGGGCTGCCTGCACATTTTGCCATGGAGTGGTGGAGTTTGAAAGGACCATAGAGTTCACTTAGGTCTGGGTCTGCAGAGCCCTTCCAGGCTGCCACGCGGATAAGTGTTCATCCAGAGGTCCAGGTGCCTGCGACACCAAAGAGTGGGGTGAGAGGGTTCAAGTACTGGCAATATGCCGGTGGCACAATACCAGCTGCCACGTTATCTCCCAAGGTCGCGGTGGCAAGGCCAGGGGCAGCAGGGAGGTGCCCAAGGGTGCATATAAGAGCCACCAAGTGCCTGGCAGGTCTGTCCTCACAAGTGGCAATGGCTCTGCTGTGGGTGTTGAGCTGCCTGGCTCTGGCGGGCTTTGCCCGTGCGGCCCTCCCTGAGAGTGCGTGGGGTCGTGGGGCTTGGCGGGGTGGGCTCGGGGCTCGGGCGGGGGTGGCAGCACTGGAGGTACTGGGTATTCCTTTAGGCCTGGGCATTGTGGGCGTGTCGGGGGTGCTGTGGTGTCCACAGGTGTGCTGTGCTCTGAGGAGTGCTCGTGTGAATGGAAGTGTAATGGCCCCATTGCTTTTGGGGATGCCCATAGTTTTGCTGCTGTTGAAGTCCCAGTGGTGTCCATGTGGGAGTGGACACCATCCTCACCTGCCTCCCCTGTCCATCCCCTGCTTGCAGACCCTGGGGCCGACGCCTCTCTGTGTGGCATGGCAGCCACCGGTGCCTCGGGCACCAACGCCGTGCGCTACGGCACCATGCGCCCCAACGTGCTCAACCTGCGCGTGGTGCTGCCGGACGGGCGCCTGCTCCACACCGCCGGCGCCGGGCGCCAGCCCAGGTGGGCGCTGGGAGGCGGGGGGGCTGTGCTGGGCTGGCCATGTGCCCTGTGGGTCCCTGCTCACCAGCTCTGTGCAGGAAGCGGGCAGCCGGCTACGACCTGACCTCGCTCTTCGTGGGCTCTGAGGGCACCCTGGGCTTCCTGACTCAGGCCACGCTGCGCCTGCACCCGCTGCCCGAGGCCACTGCTGTCACCATCGCCTCCTTCCCCAGCGTGGGGGCGGCCGTGGCTTGCACCGTCCAGGTGCTGCAGGCCGCCGTGCCCGTGGCCCGCATCGGTGAGTGCCCGCAGCCAGAGGTGGGGTCCAGGTGGCAGCTGTGGAGCCCAACACTGCCTCCTCCCACCCAGAGTTCCTGGATGAGGTGATGGCAGATGCCTGCGGCCGCTTCAGTGGGATGGGGCTGCCAGTGGCAGCCACACTCCTCCTGGAGCTGCACGGCTCCCGGCGTAGCCTGGCTGAGCAGGAGCAGCAGACAGGTATGGCTTGGAATAGGGAGGAGGAGAGGGTGTCAGGGGCTGGGGGCCATGATGGACACCCAGGGATGAGGGATGGGTGCCTGGGGACAGGGGGATCAGGGTGTTCTGAAGTGAAGCATGGTGCTGGAGGGCCATGATGTAGCACTGGGGTGAGTGATGGGTGTCCAAGACATGGGACAGTGGGACCAGGCATGTCCTGGGGTGAGGGATGGGTGCCCAGGGCTGGGTGGGGACTGGAGACCTTGAGGTCATCAGGATGAGGGACAAGTGACCATAGCCTAGAACTAGGGGCCTGGAGTCATGGATGGCTGCCTATGGATAGGGGATGGGAGATCAGGGATGTCCTGAGGAGAGGCATAGGTGCCCAGGACCAGGGAGAGGGGACCAGCAATATATGCTTGGGATGGGGATTGGGAAGACACTAGGGCGAGGGATGGGTGTGTGCTCTGGGGGTCTGCTGAAGGGCTCAGGAACATGGGATAGGGGGGACTAGGGGTGCCACAGGGTGGTGGACAGAGACAGAGGGACCGGGAGTATCCAAGGATGTGGGATGGGTGGCCAGGATGGGCACTGGATGTCCTGGGTAAGGGTTGGGTGCCTGGGGGTGCCGTGGGTCCTGTCCCAGAGCTCCTGGTCACCTTCAGAGGAGATCGTGCGACAGAACGGTGGCTCCGGCCTGGCCTGGGCGGAGGGGCTGGAGGAGCGCGAGCAGCTCTGGGCCATGCGCCACAATGCCTGGTACGCTGCGCTGGCCCTGCGCCCCGGCTGCCAGGTGAGGCACGAGGGTGCGGATGATGGCAGCAGTGCCCATGGTGCTCCGAGTGCCACAGCTCTGCCATCCCTGGCCCAGGGCTACTCCACGGATGTCTGTGTGCCCATCTCCCGCCTGCCTGACGTGGTGGTGGAGACCAAGCAGGACCTGCAGGCCTCCAGCCTCACCGGTCAGCAGGGCCACATCCCCCTGGGACTGAGGGGGATGGGGGGTCACCATGCTCCACGCCACACCCCACCTGACCTGTGACCTTGCAGGACCCATGGTGGGACACGTGGGCGATGGCAACTTCCACTGCATCCTCGTCTTCAACTCCCAGGACCCGGAGGAGGCCCAGCGCATCCACGCCTTCACCCAGCGCCTGGGCAGGTGGGGCCAGGGTGCTCTGGGGGGCCGGGGCTGGACAGACAGATGTCCCCATCCCCTGTCCTTCCCTGTCCCACAGGCGGGCTCTGGCAGCAGGGGGCACCTGCACCGGGGAGCACGGCGTGGGACTGGGCAAGCGGGCACTGCTGCAGGAAGAGCTGGGCCCGGAGGGCCTGGACACCCTGCGCTCCATCAAGGCTGCACTCGACCCCCACAACCTCATGAACCCCGGCAAGGTGCTCTGAGGGGGAGCACCAGCGCTGAGCTGGCACTGGGGAGCCTCAGCCCCTGGAGTCAAGGCTAGGGTGGCCATGCTGCCTGCAGTGCCACTGTATGTGTCCCTACAAATCACCCCATCCCCACTTCTGGGGGTCAGGGATCCTCAAACCCCCAATAAACCCTTTGGACTCACACTGTCCATGTGCTGCGGAGTTGTTTAGGGGATAGGGACCCCCCAGCCCCTTCCCAGGAGGTCTCTGTCCCAGGGCAGGGCATCATCAGGGCCCCACTTCAGCCACTTCCCCAGAGCTGCAGAGCTGCCAGTGCCAGGTGAGAGCTCTCTGGCACCTGCTGAGCACTACTGTGGCCATCCCCACATGGCAGGCACAGAGAAGGGGAACTGGCATGGGTAGGGGGCTCCAGCACCCCACTGGCATCATCTGCTTCACCAAGAAAGCCAGTGAAATAAAATAACAGTGAATGTTTTATTGAACATTGTTTTAATACCATATCAAAACACCTTGACTAATGAAGGAAGCTCCCCCCAAGCTCTGAACTCTTTTTTTCCCCCGTTTTTTTTTTAATATATAAATACAGAAAGGTTTCCCGCAGGGGCACGGCCACCGGCAGGGGAGGTCTCACCAACGAAAACGCGCCCGCCGCGCCAGGAGGGGACGGGGATGGGCGAGGGGGGTCACTGCCATGAAATGACACCATCTTGGCACCTCCTGCAACTAGGGGTGGCTGGGGGCATCCGGGGGACCACTGGGGCCTTCCCCATACCCTCCTCAAAAGGGTTCAACTCAAAGCCGATGGAAAAGAAAGAGGGGAGGCGGTTTTGGCAAGAGGAGCCCGGCGAGGGGGCAGAGGAGGGGCGGCGGGGATGCTGCAGCTCTCCAGTCTCTGAGTGGTTATAGCTGAGTTAAAGAGTGACCAGTCTGTAAACATCACCGGGGCAGGGAAGCTCAAATTGAAGAACACGCCAGTCAACACGAAGCTTCAGTTGTGGTTTGTTGTTTGGTTTTTTTTTTGTCCATTTTCTCTTTTTTTCTTCTTTTTTTTTTCCTTTTTTTCCTTTTTTTTTTTTCTCATTGTAAACACTTGAAAGACGGACCCCTGTGACTCAGCAGGGGGGAGCAGTGGCCCCGCTCCCGGCGTGGGGCAGAGTCCCCATCTCAACGCTGCCGGGGCCCGGGGTGGAGATCTCCAAAAGGGAGATGGGAGAGAGGAGGAATTTCCCGTTTAGTCAGTGCAAAAAAACCGAGCAGAGCCCCCGGGCGAGTCCGGGTGGGAGGTGGGGGGGTTGCCGGTGAGAAATGCCGCGTGCTCCGTTTGGCCGGCTGTCCCCCGGCAGCTTTCCCCTTTCGGTTCGGGAAGAAAAGCCAAACATCATGGCAGGGTTTCGGCCGAGGGCGTCCCCGGGGCCTCCCTGGCAGGCAGAGCTCTCCTGGTGACCAGCGGCTGTGGAGGGGAGAGCAGGTCGCTCCGCTTTTCTCACACTGTCGTCTCCTGGATGTTTCTTTTTGTTTTAAGTCTTTTAAATTAAAATAAAAAAACAAAACAAAACAAAACAAAACAAAAAAGCAGAAAAACAACAGAACAAATAAAAATAATAAAATAAAATAAAAACTGCGCCGTTGTCCCAAGTGGATTCAAGTTTCTGGGTTTTATTTTTGTCTTCTCGAGGAATTTAAAGTCAGCCCAAAACTCCAGGCGGGGCAGGGGGGACGGGGAGAGGAGGTACAGCAGGTATAGCAAGGTGCCCTGCAAAGGCAGAGAGAAACCGTCCCGGGTGAGGAGCAGGAGCCCCGGCTGTCACGTCCCACCCTATCCCACCCTGTCCTCCACTTCCAGCCCTGGATTTAAACCCAACATGGGAATGTCTCTTCTGAGCAGCCCACCACAGGCTCACCTTAGAGAGAAGTCAGCAAGCACGCTCGGCGGGTCAATCAGAAGGATGCTCTGGGCAAGATCTGTTCACTTCAAACCATGAGTCTATACAGCTGCAAGAGGAGAGCATGTTACCACCATGCTGCTGAGCCTCAGGTGTCCCTGCCTGTCCCCTTGCCACCCGCCTGGCATGGTACCTTTTGTGATAAATGCAGAGGCAGGGCAGCCTGGCTATCGTGTCCCCCTGCAGCAGCTCCTCCAGGCAGATCACGCACTCGCCAGCGTCCTTGGTCAGCACGTCATCTGGGAGGGGAGGACAGGGCAGCAGTGAGACAGGGACCACCAGAGCATTCCCCTCCCTGGGATGGAGTGGAGCCCAGGGTCACTGCTGCGGGGGCAGCTGGGATGGAGCGGAATGGCAACAGTGCTGGGAAACACTGGCAGGAGGCTCCTGTGGAGGCACAGGGGGCACATGGGTCTGGGGCATCTGGAGTGAACACAACCCTTACTCCTCTCTTCCAAAACAACACCAACCAGTATGGGGTAAGCATCACTCCCACACTAGTGGTCAGGAGAGATGTGGGAGATGCCAGAGCTGGAGCTTGCAGCCCAGTGCTCAAGGCCAGCAAGGAGGGGAGGAAGGCAATGACCCTTTGGGGGACAGCCCAGGGGGACATGCGCCAGGGCTCCCTGTGGCACCGAGGGGAGGGGAGGGGGCCCCCTCGGGCTAGGGGGCTGTGTTACAAAGGAGCCTGAAAGCAAAAGGAGCAGGCTTGAGCCATGAAGGGGGAGCAGAGTGGAGCAGCACCATCCTGCCAGAGCACAGCCCTCTTGGGAAGCCCAGCCAAGCCTCCTGCCTGCAGCAAATGTCTCTTCAGCCTGCCCGGAGCCATCCCAGGGTGGCAGGACGCCGTGCCCCCCACACAGCCTGGCCCTTACCGTTGTAGGAGAGGCGAGGTTTGCTCAGACACATGATAAAGTGCATTTCCATCTCGTCAGAAGCCACAGATTTGGAGCAAATGGGGCACTTGAAACCTGGAAGGAGAGCAGAGAGACGAGCCCTTAGTGAGGGCAGAAGGAGCCATCCACCCTGCATCCCAGGGAATCCCCGGGACCATGGTGGGGCACGGCAGCGGGCAGCCCCTCACCTGCTGCCTGCATGGTGACCCTCACCGCACACAGCACCCACTGGGCACCCACTCATCCTGTGCCGGCCACCAGCGTGGGGGACAGCCACCGAACAGGGGACAGCCGACGAGCTGCTGCGCTGGCCGTCCCCGTGCCCGCCGCGCAGAGGGCACGGAGAGCGTGCCAAGGCAGTGCACACGTGGTCATCAGCTGCTGCCAGGCCTTAAAGGGCGAGCAGCAGCCTGGGGCATGCAGCACCGAGCCACTGGCAGTGCATGGGCATGTCCCTGTGCCTGGAGAGTGCTGTCCCTGCTGCCAGAGCTCAGCACCACATGGCTGAGCCAGAAAAGCTGCAAGGAAGGAGTTTTTTTCTTATGGCTGCAGCACAGGACTGGCAGTTTGGAGCCTCAAACACAAATGGCTGCTTTGTCCAGCTTTTCACAGGAGTGAAGTGGGTGCTAACCCCTCCAATGCCAGCCTGCCTCCCCAGAAGCAGGAGGACACTGCAGGCTGATGAGCCAGCTTGACCTTGACCCTGCCTGGTGATTTGGGTTTTTGGATGAAGCTGGACGGGATGCCCAGATCTGATCTGTGACCTTGCTTGGGTGGTGCCAGGGTGTCACACCAGTGTCATCACCTGCTGGAGCCATGCAGACCACCACGGCATCATCCTCAGCCCCACTGAGTGAGGCTGCCCCAAATACAGTTTGTAAGCCCCAAACTCACAAGGAGCAGAACCCAAGCAGCCCTGCAGGTCACCCATCTGGGACTCCCTGCCCTTCCACTGCAGCCAGCTCAAGGCCACGAGGTTTGTCACTGCCCAGCAGAGCAGCGCAGCTCGAGCCGAACACGCGCATGCCACCACCACGGGTTTGCACCAGAATATCCAGCAATTCCCTGCCTGCAGAGAGGGAGAGGGTAATTTAAGGATCTGCCTTCTAAAAGCAGATCAGGTTTGACTGCAGTGCCGCTTAAGAGCTGTCTTCATATATATGCAAAGGCTGCTCAGGAACGAAAAGAAAAAGAATGTACACAAATTATCTAAGGATGAATCAGGTTCTTGTTTGCCACCACGTGGATGTGGACAGGGCATTTTTTTTTTGGCTTCTTGTAAGAGAGAAAGTACAGGGTGGCTTTAAGGAGAGTCAGCTCAGACCTCTGCTGTGCAAATAGCCCCTGTAACTTCTCAACACTCCATTGCTCATTAACAGCAGCGATAAATACTTTACTTCCCAGGTGCTTGGATCCTGCCCCTCCAGAGTGTCGCTATTTCCCAGGAGGGTGCAGCAAGGATGAGCACCATGGATGGTATGGGATTGGCTCTAAAAGGACGAGCTAAAAGGAGCCCTCAAGCCCAGCGGTCCTCCAGTGGGGTGTCCTGCTGGCCTGCAGCATTGCCACCCTGGAACAGATCCCTGCCCAGCCTGGCTGAGCCACAGGGTGTCTGCTCTGAGTCCAGCCCCAACTGCACCAAGCCCCAGGCGATAGGGCAGTGCCTTCTCCTCTCCAGCCTAATTTTACTCCTGACCGATTTATACCTCGTGGCAGCCGTGCCCATTAGCTGAAGTAGCTGGTTTTTTCCTCCTCCCCAGTGTTTACCCGCCCGGTGTATTTATAGCGTGGATAGCTCAGATAGCCTCCCAGGCTGCCTGCTGCAAGACCCAACTGGCCTCCCCTTGTGAGACGCCCTGCCGGTGCCTCCTCTGGCAGCCGCCTGTCCCTGTCCCTGCCTGAACTGCTCCCGCCTGGCGGATGCTCTGCCAGCGCCACCGGCACCGGTCCCTGCCGGGGAGCTCTGGGCACTGCTTCCAGCAGCAAGTGCCTGGAACGGCTGTGAAGGGCTCCCTTTGGAAAAGGCATTTTGTCTGCAACCTCTGTGTCAGGGCACGGTGTTTGTAGAGGTTCAGTACTGCTCCCTGTGCTGTGTGTGGGCAGACCTCGTTTCCTCTGGTCCCCCCTTTTCTGTGCCAATGTGTTATTTTAAACAGCTGTCCCAGATCTGCCAGCTCCGGCAGCACCCGAAGGGATCCTATGAGACGTGCAACCAATGTAAAGGGAAAAGGCCCCAGATGAAAGTGCCTGGTCTGTGGCTGCCAGGGCACGGCTGCCAGCAAAGCAGCAGGGCCAGGCAACGAGCAGGGTCCTCTGCAGGCTCCAGCGAGCGGCTGTTGCTGTA